ACAGGGCTATAGTAATTAAAGCAGTATGGTACTGGTATAAAAATAGACACATAGACCAATGGAACAGACAGAGTCCAGAAATAAACCCAAGCACAGAGTCAACTAACATTTGACAAGGAGCCAAAACACTCAATGGAGAAAGAAGACAGTGTAAAACAGTCTCCTCAATAAATGGTGTTGGGAAAGTGGAAGAATCAAACTCGACCCAACAGCCAGCCGACACCGAGGCCTTCCGCCAGCAGGCATGTGAGCGAGCTGGCCTGGAGAGGTTATGCGAGTCCCGGGCTTCAAGAGGCCTGCAGTTCACTGACATCTGACTACACCTCCTGAGAGATGCTGCGTCTCAACCCCTCAGCTGAGTTATTCCCAGATACTGCACTCATAGAAACAGAAAGATAGTACATGTTTGCTGTTTGAAGCTGCTGGCTTTGGGGTCATTTATTACACAGCAATCAATAACAAATACAATTACTGAATCACCACCTCTTAAAGATCCCAGCAAGTATCTGCTGAATGACTGAATAAATAAATGAGCAAAGACCCAAAGATTCTATTCAATAACATTTTAACGTTTGCCAACTACTGTTACCCCAATAAGCCTTCTCATTTGATCCTCACTACAACCTTATATAACACATCACGTTATAACATATAAGATTTGCAGGCAGAGAAATGATCTTCCCCAGTTTGCAAATAAAGTCATGCTCATAGCAGCTGAGAAGTTTTTCTTAAAGCCCCACAGCTGATGAAAGGCCCTGAGGCTCTTGGTTTATAATCTCCCACATGAGGGCTCCACAATCCTAGGACAGGACATCCATAAAAGGTGGGATCCTGTCCCCAAATGTTAAGTAAGTGCTGGTACTCATTATAACATGCTGCATTCAACTCAAATAAGCACCACTACACCACACGGCCAACGCCTTTTTAAAGAAGATTCCATCATGTAACTGACAGCTGTATTAAAACAAATTAGAAAGGGTGAGCCACAAGGTGGGGGAGAAATGCAAAAAAGAGTATCCTAGGAAATTCGGATTTTCATGGTTTTAGTTCCCACAATCCTGAGGTCATGAAAGCAGCAGCTCTTTCCATGGCAGAATGTCCTGAAAGCCCCTGGAGCCCAGGCCACCCCAGAGCTGAAGTAGATACCAGTGGGAGGAGGGAAGGGGGCAGCATCACTGTTGTACAATCCACCAGCTAGAGCATCACTGTGTTAACAGCTTTTCATGACTCAGATTCCCCTAGAGAGGGTAAGTCTCTCTTAGAGTTTTGACGTGGGAGAGCGGGGACAAGCAATATGAGAAAGGCCAGGCTGGATCTACCGGCTTCCGAGGAAAGCCAGAGGGCGGGCGGCATGCGGACTACCACTGGGGAATGCAAAAAGTGAGGAGGCAGAACTGACTACAGGCAGGTCAAAGGGCAGTGTCCATCTCACTCTCTAATGCTCAGTGACACTGGGGTGCCCCCACAGAGAAGCTGGTAGAGGCGGCACGCTCGCTGCCCAAGGGGAGACCAGCTTTGGATTAGAAGCCAACCTTCACCCCAGCTGCGACCTGGGCCCTGTGAACTGCTCTGATGAGGGAAGTGAGACACCAACCATGCGCAGCACACAATGTGTCTCAGGCACCTTGATCCCTGACAACTATAGCCTAAGGCTTTCCTGACCTGATTCTTGAGGCTTCTCCAAGTGCGCTGCTTTCTTTCACAAGGTAGATTGCATTCTGTCACTTCATCAATGCATGTGCTTTAGGACGTCACTAGCAGTGGTGTCTCCATTACCCTGTAGGCCCCCTGAAGGCAGGGGCTGTGTCCCGAGCCCCAGCACTGACAGACACTTTCAGAACCTGAAAGCCACCTCTCCATCCTCTCCCCATGTGCTCCCCAGTCATGAGCACCATCCCTCCACACGACTCCACTGGCGTCCTTACTCCTCTTTCCAGCGTCCCCATTCCACCACCACCAATTTCTGCTAACTCCCCAGAGTCCTCTCCTGGGAACACTGGCTAAAAGAGTAAACATGGTGAATGCTGAATGCCATATGCTATACGAGACCATTCAGAGAACGCAGCACTCGGGGGCCATCAGAGACAGTGAATTCCAATGGCACCACTGTCCTTTTGGCCTTGGGCGCATCCCTGGGTTCCTAGAGTCTCAGCTTCCTTGTGTTACACAAAGGGGCTCAACAAGACAACCTATTAGGGTGCCTTCTTTAGAATCAGCTCTGACTATATAACTTTCATCTGAGGGAAATTTTCAAACTAAACCCAAACTCTGACACTTTTATAGAATAGTTTGTATCTGAACTCCAAAAAAAGAAAAGACCATTTCTGTTCTTCCACAACTCCACATTTACAATTTGTGTTGTTACATAACTGCACATTTTGTATTTTAATTGCACACACACATTTTCACTAAAGTTACTCATGTCTAAATGAGAGTTCTTGCAGTTGAATTTGGCTGGGCAACAAGGAGCCCATATAAATGAACTGGCCAAATCCTCCCCATGTGGGAGCTGTGTTCTGACCATCACATGCCAGGAAATAAATACAGAGACTGTATCTGCTCTGTCACACGTTTTAAAGAAATGACTTATTAAAGGTAATTCACAAGTACAGCTCTTTAGTTTAAGATTTTGATTGGTTGATAAAATCTAAATTTAGGCTTGTGTATTGCTCTAGCTGAACTATATCCCCCCAATATTCATATGTAGAAACCCTACCTCCCAATGTGATGGCATTTGGAGGTGGTGCCTTTGGGAGGTGATTAGGGTTAGAGGAGGTCATGAGGATGGGCCCCCATGATGGGACTGGTGCCCTTACAACAGACCCAGAAAGTCTGCTTCCTCTCTCTGTTCACCATGTGAGGATGTAAAGAAGATGCAGCTCCTACTAGGGAACCAAATCTGTTGGCGCCCTGAGAGCCTCCAGAACCGGGAGAGAGAAACGTCTGTTGTTCTGCCGCTCAGTCTACGTGGTTCTTTGTTACAACAGCCATGCTGACCTACACGTTTGGTACCCAACCCAGTCCCATACCCACAGGCTGTTGCATACCAATCTGAACCTAATGCTTATCCAATTCATGGTCTTGGTCAGAAAAGAAAAGTGAGTTGTGATTGTTTTAAATGTTATCTGTAAATCTTCCTAGTCCTCCCATATTCCTGCCACCAATAAGTGGGGGTTAATGCCAAGCTAAGGGGCTGGCTGACCAAGAGCATAGGACGACTTCAGAGGGTAGGTCATAAAAGGTGGGCTGGCTTCTACTGGTTCTCTATGGATGTCCACTCTTGGAATCCAGCCAGCAAGCTGTGAGGAAGCCCAAACAAGCTTGTGACAAGGCCCATAAGAGGGGCCCACATGTAGGCATTCTAGGTGACAGCCCAGCTGAGGTTCTGGGTAACAAGTCAGCATCAATATGCGAGCGATCAGGCCTCCAGCTCGCAGCCACTGAGTCATGTTCAGCTCTGGAGTCTCCCCAGTGGGGGCCCCCGATCACCACAGAGACAGTAAGCTGTCTCTGCCTACATTCCTGAAGGCATCTCTGCCTACATTCCTACAGAGTCTGACGGCACAGTAAGATGACTGTTTACGCCACTAAGTTTATAGGATTTGTTGAACAGATGCAGCTAACAGGTAGTGGAATGTGAGATCAGAATATCACTATGTACTGATGGAAATTCTTCATTCTACCAGGAAAATAACTAAAGCCCAGACATTGATCAGGATGAATAACATCGTTTTCATAAGTGTAGCCCAGTATGATTCCATAGCTAACTTCCTAACTGCTGAAATAAAGGATCAAGAAGCACAAGATACAAGAGTGCGAGCTCTGAGCAACAGTGGTTTGATGCCCGGCCCGAGTGGCAGGGCTCAGGATGGCTCAGCTTAAAAAAAAAGCACAAGGGAACAGGTGTGCTTTTCTCCCCACCTATTTGGCTCAAGATGGCCAAACTTGCAATGGTGTACAAAACAGTCCACCCAGAGTCCAGACATCTGCGGGGGAGGGGAGAGAGTGCAGCAGTATGCTTTTTAATCACAGCAGCAGAGAGGCCTTACTGTCAACAGTGGGCGTCCCTGGGCAGGGCAGGTCCCACAGGCAGAGCAGTGAGGAAGTAGGGCCATGTAACTGCAGATGCGAGACAGCAGAACAGTGACTGCCGAAGGAGTGGCATTGTTACATTTATGGCGTTTGAGTTGTCTTATCTGAGTATTTGCTACTTCTGTCTCAAACTAAAATTCTGTCGACGCTGTCAGAATGTCACTGGTCTGAGGACAATGCTGCATGTAGGATGTACTCTAGCATCAAGGATCTCCATCCAATTCACAGAGCTCTCTTCCTCTTCAGACACCAGCCGCAGGCCCTCACGGGACACGAAAGGGAAGCGGGCCAGTACCATTCTCTATACTGTCTCCCTAACAGATGTGAGAAGCTACCGAAAGACCAAAGAATTTGGAGGTGGGAAGGTGTCTTCAAAGCCACATGCATGTATATATTCTCCTACTACCTGAGGGTAAAACTCTCCCCCTGTTTTAGGAGAGAACCTGTGTTTAAAGAGGGTCTTTTAGTCACCAGACTGGTTTTTCTGCTCTTAGTTCCTCTTCTGGGGCTTGCAGGCAGACAGAACCCTGGCGATACTGGGACAGCGATGGTAGTCCATAAAAGGCAGGGAGAGCCACAAGAGAGGCATTGGAGTGACAAAGTTGACCCGCTTCCGAAGACAGGGGTTTTGGCCTTGAGGAGAAGCCCTCGGATACGATGGGGAGGAACACTACGCAAGGCACCATCCGCCAATTCAGATTAACACCCGCTCTCCCCTACACAACACTTGAAATACAAGATATAATGGTATTTATAATATACTTTTCCCTCTTCACCCAGAAAATCTGGGGAAAGAGAAGGAGCACATGGCAGGAATCCCCCAGAAGGAACTGAAACTATGTTAGTACCTATGTCTACAGAATTGTATAGACTGTAAAATATATATATTATATATATTCCTTCCTTACCTTTTCTGTTGATATGAACTGAGTCCAAGTGTTGTCTCAGTCTGTGAAAGAAAGCAAGCAAGCAATGGTGACAATACTGAAACCACATCTTAACAATACAGACATATGACATATCCAAAATATTTTATTGTACTTTCAACTTGGATCTAATGCTCATTCATATTTTCAGGTTTAACCTGACCCCCAAATCATATGAAATGATTTGGCATACTATATACTTGTATAGGTGTCCCCCGCTTTCCCAAAGTTCGCTTTCCGCCACTTCACTTGATGGGAGACCTACATCAGTACCTGTTTCCGCTAACTGAACCCCAAAGAGGACTTTCACTTTTATGAAAAAAGGTGAAAAGCTCAAAGAGAGCCCACATCTGTTCTGCAGCAGCTATCATAGAGGCAGCGGCCCCGAGCTCCTTCCCAGGACCACACTGGGCGTCTCAGCCTCGGGCCCCAGAGCCCTGACTGTGTCTGGGAGCATCTGGGCTTTGTCTCCACTGACTCTGTGTGTCCGTTAGCAAGATGGGTCCTCGGGAACCAGAAAGACCTAAGAGAGCTCATGAGGGCGTGACGCTTGGTGTAAAACTGGACGTAATCAAGTGTTTTGATCATGATGAGCAAAATAAAGACAATGTGCCTGTGGTGAATATGGGGTCTGGAAACACTAAAAAAATTTTCCACAGAACTTAATGGTAATCACTTCTTTGCTTTCCACCATTTTGGCTTATGAAAGGTTGCAAAGGAACCTCTACTTTTGGATAGCGGGGGCAACCTATAACTCAGGAGCGAGAATCATTAGGATGACATTTTCAACACACATGGAAATCATACAAAGTAATGGGGCTGGTTTTAGAAGTTTGCCGGACCAACACCGCCTCAGAGGGGAGTCCTCTACAGTCACCTGGTGAGGCTTCTGTGCCTCTCACCACTCCCTGCTTACTCCTGTGTGCCAGTTGCTGGCATGGAGCACCAGGCAGCTGTGGAGCTCAAGAAACAGGGCTGGGAGACAGTCATTTTACAGCTAAATAAAAATGTGTTTATACACTGCATAAAGGACTGTGGCAGAGAATAGACAGGTGATGGCTTGAGTGCGAGAAGGGAAGGCCTGTCTGCAGAGATCACTCTGGGTAAGAGAGCCGTGTGGAGGAGGCAAGGTTGTGTGGAGGTGGAGAAAACAGCACGTGCAAGATCCTCACACATGGAAGAATCTGGATGTTCAAGAAACAGAAGTCAGGTCTATCTGGCTGGAGCTTAGAGGGAAGGGGGAGAGGAGAGAGAAACGAGGCTGGAGAGCTAGGCAGGGGCCTGAATGCCTTGTGCTCTGGTAAGGGGCCACAGTAAGGAGTCTGGATTGTGTATATTCTAAATGCAACACAAGGGATCTGGAGGAGTAGGAGTCAGGCATGGGTTTAAAGACATTATTCTGGCTTTAGTGTAGAGGACAGATTAGAGGAAGGCAAGAGAGAAAGCAAGAAGTTGGGAGGCAACTGAAGAAGGAAATGAAGTGCTTAATAATGACGTGGGAGAAAAAGCCCAAGTTGAAGGAATATGTACCATCAGTGAACTTACCCTAAAACTTAGCTTCTCCATTACAATTAGAAAAAGCAGCAGAGTTATGGCATTCTCATTCCCAGTAGTACATATTGTTTTGAAATGGTATTTTGGAGAATTTATATGGGGGGGATATGGCAGATGTAAGAAAACGTCCTTATTTTTTTTAAAGTGAATGTTCGGGTAAGGTGAAGTGTCAGGATGTCTGTTATTTTCTTTAAAATGTCTCACCAGTATAATCTGTGCATGGAGTTATGTATGTGTAACAAACCTGGCACAATGTTCACAACTGTTGGGTCTATCTCAGCAGTAGGTAAATGGATATTCGTTCTTAACTCTTCAATTTTCTGTACTTAAAGAAAATTTCTTTAACTTTTTATTATGGGAGAAAATATCTGCAAATCGTATCTATTTGACAAAGGATTAATATACAGACTATATAAAGAACCTCCACAACTCAATAGCAAAACACAACAGAAAACAAACCTGATTAAAAAATGGAGAGGACTTACATATTGTAGACATTTTTTTCAAAGAGGACATACAAATGGCCAGTAGGCACATGAAAAGCTGCTCAATGCCACTAACCATCAGGAAAATGCAAATCAAAACCACCATGAGATACCACCTCATTCCCATCACGATGGCTATCCAGAAAACAGAAAATAAGCATTGGTAGGGATGTGGAGAAACTGATACTGGGACTGTAAACTGTGCAGCTGCTGTGAAGGATGGTATGGCAGTTCCTCCAAAAATTCAACAATTACCATGTGATTCAGCAATCCCATTTCTGTGGACAGACCCGGAAAGTCTGAAAGCAGAAAGCAGGGACTCAGGTAATGAGACAGCCATGCTCACAGCAGCATTATTCACAAACAGCTAAAGTGTGGAAGCAACCAAGTGTCCATCAACTGACAAATGGACAAGCTAAATGTAATTTATACAACAGAACGTTACTCAATCTTAAAAAGAAAGGCAATTCTGATAATGCGACTACATGGATGAACTTGATGACTACGTCTACACTCACACTAAGTGATATAAGCCAGTCACAAAAATACTGTACGATTCCATTTGTAGGAGGTCCCTACAGTAGTCAAATTCATAGAGACAGAAAGTAGAAAGTGGTTTAAAATATAAACTGACAGGAACAGAAAGCAGATCAGTGGTTGCCCAGAGATGAGGGCAAGAGTGGCAGGATCCGAGTGTCACAAGTGAACTTTTATGGGTGATAGGTATGTTTCACTATCTGATTGCAGTGATGGTTCCACAGGTGTATAAATATGTCAACCTTCAAACTGCACACTTCAAACACATACAGTTCACTGCATGTCACTTACACTTCAAACAATTGTAGAACGAAACTGGTTCCCATTTGATGTTGACAGAAAGGGGACTCAGGAAGTATATCACACATGTACACTTTCTTGAGAGAAAAAAATCTTCATGAAGACAATCTAACCAGAAAGATTACTCATGAAGAATTGCAAATGAGGAAGCTGTCTTGTGAAAGATAGGCAGATACTCAAGATAAAGGAACTGTGGAAACAGGTTAGAATAGCAGAAAGTAAATATTTTTGAAGTATAAGCCACAAAAGGGAAACATAATCATTTAACTATAATAAAGAATAAAAATCTCAGGATATGCCAACAATGCACTCCAAGTACTGAGAGAAAGGGAGAGATCACAACACATACTACTTTATTTCTGCAGTAATTACTCCTCATTCTCGTGTTTCAATCACAATATTCGAAAAATCATTACACTGTACATGCCACAGTTCATTTCTGGGCTCTCTGCTCTGTTCCATGGTCTGTGTGTCTGTCTCCATGCCAGTGGCACACTGTTTTGGTTGCTGCAGCTTTGTAGTAAGTTTTAAAATCATGAAGCATGAATCCTTCAGCTTTGATATTCTTTTCAAGGCTATTTGGCTACTCAAGGTACCTTGAGCTTCTATATGAATTTTAGGCTGGGTTTTTCTATGTCTGCAAAAAAAAACAAACCAAAACAACAACAACAACAAAAAACATTGTAATTTTGATAGGAGTTGCACTGAATCTGTAGATTGCTTTGGGTAGTATGGACGGACATCTTAACAATATTAAGTCTTCCAGTCCACGAACATGGGCTGTTTTCACTTATTTATATTTATGTCTTTAATTTCTCTCAGTACAACATGGATGAATTTCAAAATAATTTGTTTGTAGATTTCATTGTACAAGTCTTTCATCTTGGTTAAGTTAATTCCGAAGTATTTTATTCTTTATGGCACTATTGTAAATGGACCTGTCCGTCTGGCTCCTTTTCGGCTTGTTCATTGTTAGTGTACGGGCACACCTCCTTTTACTGCCCCTTCACTTTATTGCACTTTGCAGACAACACGTTTTCATCAACATCGAGGCAAGACCCTCCACCGGCAAAACGATACAACTCCCGGAAGGCACAGAGGAAGGTTGGTATTTTTAGCAGTAAAGTATTTTTAAATTAAGGTACATACATTGTGTTTTTTTTAGACATATGCAATTGCACACTAATAGCCTACAGTACAGTGTAAACATAACTTTTTCCCAGTGCACTGGGAAAACAAAAACATTCACGTGACTCACGCTGTGATGTTCACTTTATTGTGCTGGTCTGGAACCGAACCTGCAATCTCTGAGGTCTGTCTCATAGGACATGGAAGTTGACTGCGCCTCACCTAATTCTGCCTCCGTCTGTGAGAAGTCACATCTGTTGCAGTCTTGTCAAATAACCTGGATGCTTGAATATTTCCAGTTGACAGGAAATTCACTTCTCCCAGGGAAACAAACTTAATTGGTTCTGAAATTCTTAGCTTTAATTTTAATACTTTTGATTAAAATAAGTTGACACTTTAAGAGCAAAACTTTTTAAAAAGGTGTGTAATTTTTCAATGACCATTTTAATAGACAAAAATTTTAATACAGTAAATCTCTTTATCTCTTCCTCTTACTGGAGTCTTTTTCTACACTTTGAACTGTGTTCTATGTGTGCATGTGTGAGAGAAAAGACTCGTTTGAATCATCTCTCCTGTATAAAATGTGCTTCCTCGGCACTTAGATTCTCTGTTAGATAAAAAGTACATACTGATTTTGTATCCTGCTATTTTGCTGAATTCATTTATTAGTTCTAACAGTTTGTTGTAGAAACTTTAGGGTTTTCTACATATAAGATCCTATCATCTGCAAACAATTTTACTTCTTCCTTTCCAATTTGTAGGCCTTTTCTTTTTCTTGTCTAACTAGTCTGGCTAAAACTTCTAGTACTATACTGAATAGAACCGGGTTTAAAGGATAAGCTTTCATTGTTTTTCACTATGGAGTACACTATTCACTGTGGGATTTTCATATATGGCTTTTATTATGTGGGGTGGTTTTCTTCTGCTCCTAATTTGTTGAGTGTTTTTCATGAGAGTGTGTTGATTTGTCAAAATGGTTTTCCCTTATCAATTAAGATAATCATGTGGTTTTTGTCCTT